TGCAACTTGTTCTGTTTTAGATCAAGTCAAGTTTGGTGTCAAACTGAAAAAAAAAGGATCATACTAGAAGGGAAAATATTTCTTGAGAATTTCCCTGTTGGTTTTCATGAATTAAATGAAATTTTATTTACCTGAACAAATATTATATGCAATTTGTTTAGTTTGTAATATCCTTTGAATCTTAAAATCAAAATCTTTTTAATGCCCAATTCTAAAAAAAACAAAATACAAAAAATACAACTCAGTTATTCCAAAAAGGGATTTAAAAATTTCAGAACTTGGAAAGCTCAAGGTAGGAAAGACATCAGTTTAATTCTTTGATTTTGGGTGGTCTGTTTACCACATAATATGATTTTATGTTTCAAGGAGCAATGTTCAAGCAATTGTTTTACTTGGATATGTTCTTAAGAACCTTTTCATTGCTTTAAGAGTATGCAGCTTTATTTTCTAGGATAATCTAAACTCACTGTAATCTCAAATGTCCAAACCTGTTCATTTTCTAAGTTCTTAATATGTTTTTGAATGCCTGGAAAAAGGAATCAGGGTCGTTTAAGCTAATCTTGAGATTTGCTGCAAGTTAGAAAGAGATAGCTGGAGGAGAAGGATTAAATCTTCAAGACTTTTTTTCTCTTTGAGACGCATTTACACAACTCTTCCATCTTGAAAATGTTCTACCAGTTCAGAACAATGTTTCTGACCAGCTTCTGTAAGTACACACTGGCAATTTAGTGTAGATGGATGGCTATCTGTAAGTACCCCTATGCTCAGCTCTAGTCCTAGAAGAGAATATATTGTCTAAACAGGATATCTGTTATGATTCCAAAAAAAAAGTGCCTAATGTGTTTCTCCCACTGTTGCTGTTGTTGATAGAGCCCATTTTGTGGAAAAAAACATTTTGTGAGTGTGAAAATGGCAGGCTGATATTGCCCAGATACCAGTGCAGCGAGTGTTATGTTCCCCAAGGCTTCCTTAGCATTCAGTGAAAAAAATGTATGAACTCAAAATGCTCCTTGAAATTCACACTTCGAGTTGAAAGATATAAGAACAACTTTTATATTAATAATTTGAGGCTATATGGTTATTAACATCTGTATTGACTATTTTAAAGCTTTTGTAGATATGCCTGTATAAGATGTGGTGAGATATTGAGATGTGACTCTGGACTTGCTCATGCAGTGTGGATCCTTCTATCATTCTTTCATGATGTTAACAGCAGGATAACAAGATAGAAGTGCAGATGTGTTTACATCATGCAAAAAAATAGGATGCTTTGTAGGCAACTCTGAGTCACATTATGAGTTTTCCTTTGGATAATCCCAAAAATTAAGTCCTCAGCTTTCACTGACTTTTTGAGGGTGTTTGACTTCTTATTGTGTGAGACATATCAGAAAATCTTACCTGCTGTGTGGCAATTCCTAACTCTGTATTTTTGCTGTCTTTTCAAATAAATGAATGCTGTTGGTATTTGAATCTACACTGACTAGGAATATCTTAATTCAGTTTTAAAGCAGTCCAGATACTGTCTTTCATTTCATGGCGCACAACTCAGCCGTATTAAAAATCTGTACACAACAGGGTCACATTTCTGTAGAAAAACTGGAAAATGGAACATGAAATGGCTTTTCATGTCCCTAAAAATGTTATGCTCAGATTAAATGCATCATCAGCCATTCAGCCATACAATTGCTTGTTAGACGTGACATTTTATGCAAGTCTTGATACTTAAGAGAAATGTCATTTTAGTCTGTGGCCATCATTGTGCATAATTGGTATCTTTGAAGAAGCTAACCTGATTGGCAATCTCATTTGAGCAGTTAGATGTGTAAATGATATGATTGTTCCTAAGGGATTTTTTTTGGACCAAAACTGAACGCCAGTTTTCAAATGTCTTGTCCATGTGTTTCTACAGAGGGCTTATAATTTAAGACTTTACAGTAATAATTCTAATATGATTTTGCATGGCTTTTCATTAAAATTCAATCATATAGACGTATATGAAGTATCTTTTGAAACGATTTTTTTCAGCTAAAGTTAGCAATATGGTTGTTTATGCTGGTAGCACTAAAATCCAATTTAACATCTACATCTTCTGGTAACAGTCCTTGCATTACAGATTCTGGTTCCCAGACAATAGACTTCATCATACTCTATGGCACTCTGACTCATGAGATACAACCACTTTTGTTAGCCTAATTTGCACTTGTTGCACCTTACAACAGCAGTCGCTATTGCCTGACTGAAGGCTGCTATTAGAAGCTTTGTATGCAGTCTAATGCCAGGATAGGAAGACATTACCAGTCCTGGTCCAGTTCAGGGAAGTGTATCGTACATTTCCAACTGCAGCATGTTTGAAGATGAATCTGTTCTTTTTAAGTGTTGCTGATCGAAGTTCCAGTCCCACAGACCCTAACTCACTTGAAAGATCTTACGTGCAGTTCAGTCTCGTTGGAGATTATTCGTTAAGGTTCTCAGTCTTGCCCTAAGTTATTAAAATGAGAATTCAATACCAAGCTTTCACTTTCTTCCAGTATGAAATTAGCCATCCTTCAGTCTCTGTTTTAGTAGCTTTTACGCATGAGTAATGCTGTTTCATTCGTATGTTTGTCATAGAATATTCGCAGCTATGCCACCTGTGGGAGCCTTAGCAGGAATTTGAAATTATCTCTATCCCAAATGGCTCTAAAGGCACCTAAAAGTAAAAGCTGCTCCCAAGGGTTGTTGGACAGAGCCCTTTTTGTCTTGGTTTACGCATTAATTCTGCTTTCAGATGCAAGCTTTTACAATACAGATTAAAAGAAGTTTTATTTCAGAATTAAAATATGCTACAGAAACATTTCCTTTCAAAACCAAAGCTGTCTGGAGATCATGGAATTTTTGAATTATTTCAAAGGCATAATACCGTCAGATTTATGAAAGTCCCAATGGATATGGTGTGACCATTTTTTCTTCATTCATTTTCTGTTGTATTTTTTATGACATGCGTGTTAACAAGCTTCAGTTTATGACCTTGACATTTGCGTATTTCTCTTTTGGAGGTCTTCATAAATCACCAAAAGATTTTGTTTAAATCATTATAAATAAACCAACCAGAGAATAAGTCATTGAAATGGACAGAAGCAATTTCCTTTCTCTCTATTTGTGCATAATAGTTGACTGGCCTGTAAGCCGTAGAAAGACAGTGAAACATTAGCATGGCAGAGAAAATGCAGCCATATCTACGTATGACAAAATAACAGTACATTCATAATGCTGTTGGCTTCTTAATTTCAAAAGGCAGATTTTAATATTACTGACTTCAGAGAAAGATAAGAAGGGCAGTGCATAAGACATTATCAGTCCAGTCTGGAAATAATGCATTCAAAATTAAAGACAGCAGTTTAATTAAGTGCATGAAAGGCTGGCTTTTATGATCGTATTTCAAATACTCAAATGTCTTTTCATCCATTCTGCTGTATGACTTTACTTAATAATATATCAAGAACAAAAAATGTATTGGAGTCTTTCTGCAAATTCAATTAGTCCAATAAAAAGTGAAAAATAATTTCTTTTTCATTAAAAAGAACTCAACCCTAACCCTTCTGATGACAAAGTGCAAGGGGTGGGGGGGGGGAGTTAAAGAACGATGAAAATTCTGCCTTTATAATGCATTTATGTGTGTGTGAAGCAGATGAAGTGTCACCATTAGTAACATTTGTTATTGAAAGGACTAATTACATTCTGCTACGGTTAGTAGTTTATCAGATCCAGACCACAGCGTATTTACTTCTCCCTTAGGATGCACTCACAGTGCAGCAATAATTCCATAGTTTGTTGGGCTGCTATAGGCAGGGTAATTATGCTAAAGTGCACCTCTTTCAGTGCTAAACTTATAACTACCCTGACACATTGCACTAGTGCTTTACAGGTTAAGTGCAACCGACTAAGGGTTTATAGCTAAGAGAAGTGCAGAGATCATAGCACTTCTGTGCTAAACCAGAAAAACGAGTAACACAAACCACCCAGAAGTGCAACATTTCAAAAGAGAAATTATTAAGTACGGTACACAATGAAGGAAGCAATGTGCATTTAGAAAACTTTGAGATGGGTTAAAATGGGATGGCAAAGGGATCTGGAATAAGATACTGAGCTTCAGACTGAAAGCAGTAGTTACTGGCTCAACCACGGCACACATCTGTAGTGACTGAAAGTTATTACCACTCGTCAGATCCTCTGTGACCTCTGTCAAATGAGGTGCTGGTCTCCGTCCGGCTCCCAGTGGGCAGACATCCCCGCTGCAAACACTTCCAGCACCACGGCCGCTCTGTCACTCACAGCCTCGGCACGAAGCCGTGCGGCGGTACCACGGTGAATAAACAACATCCTCACCTCTGCAGCTGGTTCTTTCAGGTCAGGGCTGAGGCAGGCTGACAAATAATCTGAGAAAGCTTGAAACTCCACTGCTAACACAGGGTGGCTCTGGGTAAATAAAAGATTTCATTTTCCAGAGTTGCATGTTGACAGGTTTCACTTCTGCTGACATAACTAAATGTGGCCCCAAGGGGTGCTGGGGAATGATCTGGTCCTGTTCTGTTTGTGGCACCCACCATACAAATGATTCTGCTCTGCTGTCATTTTTCCTCCTACCTGTCTTGTTATTGATTCTTTTAATACCATGCTGTCTATCTAGGGGATGTTTCCTGCTATGTTTCTCTCAGTATGTATTTATGAACAGATTCTTTTCCAGATATCTGTTCATGTCCTAATCTCATTTTAGCTTCAAAATATTCCTCTCCCAGAGGTTTCCTTAGAATAATTACCCATGCTGTATAGACAGGCTGCATTCTGAAATGCACCAATAAATTTATAATAGTGACTCATCAGTTTTTTTATAGCAATAATTTTCATATAACAGAGGTAAGAATGATAAAAATTATTTCCCTTTGCAGGCATGCAGGTACAAATAAGAGCAAGTGTTTATGAAAGTATGGTTTAATAAACATACATTTGTTTTTTTCATATAGGTAACCCTCCCGCTACAGGTACAGGAACTTTACACATCACCTTGGAGGATGTCAATGACAATGTCCCGTCCCTTTATCCTACACTGGCTAAAGTTTGTGACGATGCAAAAGATCTCAGGGTAGTGGTACTAGGAGCATCAGACAAAGACCTTCATCCCAACACAGATCCATTCAAATTTGAACTGAGTAAGCAATCTGGCCCAGAAAAATTGTGGAGGATCACCAAGCTTAACAGTAAGTCTGTTACTTCTTTTCTTATGCATTTAGTCCTCCCACCTCTACACCCCAGTACACTCACCCTGAGCCTGCCTGCTGTGTCAATTCAGGAGCAGTTGTGCATGGAAGTCTTGCAGGCTGGACCCATCGCTGCTGCTTTGCACTGTGCTGGTTGTGATCAGAGCAGCTGCCTGGTGGGACAACAGTCTGTCTGCATTTTCTCTGAAATCTGAACTTTTTTTATCTTCTTATTATGTTGACCAAACTTTTCTCTTCTAGCTTTGCATTAAAGAAAGGCTACTAATGACTTACAGTTTTGTAAAGATTACCATATTTCAAGGCATGGAATTTGTTTCCCTGGAATCTGTTTCCCTGAGATGCACAAGGTTTTGCTATAGGACAGCATGAAACTTGCATGGGCTTTAGCAACATACTTGAAAAACTTCCTGATTTAAAGTATTTGAACTCTTCACAAATAAAATATCAAATGCACTGGGACCATACGTTACTGGCAAGAGGATTAAAGCACACGATGTGCAATTGCAGAAGATTTGTGTGGCAAATTCTGGGCACAAAGTACTATATTTCCTTTTAATGTAGATTATTTCTATTTGTTTTCTAGCTGTATTGTTTATCTCTGTCATGATCAAGTCTTTCTGCAGTTCATTTCATACTCTTCTTAGAAATAACTAAAGAAGGATGAGAACTCTGTACCTGCCTGCAGGTTGTCATGGACAAAGTGAAGGAGTATTTTTCTTCACAGTTCTCCAAAGATCAAACCACCACTCTGTTAAACCCCCTGACAGAGTCAGCACACTCACCTGGGTACCAGCAGCTGTTGTGACCCACTGCTGCTCAGGTGGAGCAGGTCATCAGAAGATGGCACTACTTCCCTTCACCGCCTTCTCGGTCAAACTGAGGAAGCAGTTAAGCAGCTTTGCGTATGCTTCCTTACAAGAAGGGGGTTTTTTTCCATTGGCAATTAGAAATATTGTTCCATCTTGTGTTGCTTTTAAAAGCCTTGCTTCTGGTGGGGTTTGGAATCTGTTTGCAATTAGCTCTCAGCCCATGAAAGAATTTCAGTAACTGCTTCTTCTTACCTCCAATTCAATTCTTTAATCATTTCCTTAGAGTGTTCTCATTTTCTTCTTGATTTCTATGAGTAATTGTGGCATGTCTGATGTTGTTTGCAGATTCCTCTTCCCTTCCAAACAACCACTACTTGGCTGATTCTCACCTTATCCTTTCCAGATACTCATGCCCAGGTAACCCTGCTTCAAAACCTAAAAAAGGCCAATTACAACATCCCAATCTCAGTGACAGATTCTGGAAAACCACCTCTGACTAACAACACAGAACTGAAATTACAAGTGTGTTCCTGCAAGAAATCCAAAATGGACTGCAGTGCAACTGATGCCCTTCATATCAGCGTGACCCTTATCATTCTTTCACTCTTCAGTTTATTTTGTAAGTGTTTTCCTGAACTGTAAGTAATGAAGTATTATTTAGCTGCTGATTTGTATGCTGCATAAGAAAACCTTCCAAGGGAGAAAAGAAATTCATACACTGATATCATAACACAGTAAGTTTGGTGTTTTTTTTTCCTGAGGAAGTAGCTGTAAGGAAGAGAGAGGGGAGGGTTTTTTCATAGTCAAAAAATAGTAACGAATGCCTGGTTGTCAAATTAAGAAACAGAAGCAATAATTTTAAGAAGAATCAAAGAGAATTAGAGCTAGCATATGATAAACTAAGAAATACCAGCTGTAGTAGCAGATTTGTGAGACGCTTGCTTTCATCTCTCCCCACTTGAATTCAATTCAAAAACAGAAACAGGAGATTAAAGGTGTTCTTGTAACAATAGCTGTTCTGGGTTACCATGAAAATGAGTTCTGTCTGCTTCAATCTATTCCTCTGTATAAAGTGTGCAAGCAACTGGAACATGAGGAACTTATTGAAGATTCTGTGCTTAGAGACACCCAGCATTGATAATCAAATTGCAAGTCTGGGTTGGAGGGCAGAGAGAACTGACATGTAAAGAAAGCTTCTGCTGCTTCTGAGAAAGCATTCTAAGAGAGACTTAAAATATTCCTGATTTTAAATGGAAGGTGTAAACCAAAAATCCCATAATAGCTGAAGAGTAGGAATTCAAAGCCATGGAATCCCAACGTCTAACCTGGATGTGTCCCTGCCTTGTCCTGGGACAGCTTCCAGCAAATTTTTTGATGCGGTATTATTCCGAGCTCCTTATCTGTTAAAAAGGAATAGCTGTATTCTATAACTATGATAGTAGATCTGTTATTTAAAGGACTATTACTGTCATCTTATGTTGGTAAAATACGTTGTATGGTGAATTAATACCCGAGCCATGGTGAAAGGCGTTCCATTATTGATGAGATAAAATCTACCATGAGGCAGAGATAGAGGTCAAGGCAGAGGTAGTTTACACATCTAAGGCTTGGTGTATGCTTGATTACACATTTTGTCATTTTATTTCTTATAGTATATTACTTTTATCCCAAAAGGTTAGCATGAAGGTCATTGTGAGAGAATTAGAGCTAGCTAATGTTTGTGATGCTGTCTGAAGATGAAAAAGCCTATATAAATGCTAAGTGCAAATTTGCGTTCTTTATTTGAATTGGTAATATCTGACGTATCTCCATTGGCTTTGGTTCAGTTGTTCTGGGTTTACTCTGCTGGAACCAAATGCAGACTTCAGCTGTTAGAAGTAATATGGTAAAAATATTCGACAGTACCTGACACTGTTGCATCAGTGATATAAATATGCAGCCCGTTGATTCAAATACATCCTTGTTACCACTTCATAAATGTTGCTGGCATTATGCTAGGTGTGACTTTCACCACTGGAATGACTTTCTTAGCTGACATGATTTGCACTTGAACTTTATTTACATTAATGCATTTGCTCAGAATACAATGAGGGAGAGAAAAGCTTTTTGAAAGTAATCATGTTGCTTTTTTCGAGCCCTCAAAGAAGTCTGATCATTTTCCTTACATTAAATTATAAAAAGCAGTTCTACGTATTGGAAAGCTCTTCTTGAGTTGCTCTTCTTCACTATAGATCTTCTCCAGCTCTACTGTGGGCAGAATATAGGCCCCTGGCATCTGAAAGGTGCGTGGTGCTCTGAATGACAGAGGGATTCCCTCTCCCACTGTAAAAGAATAAATAGCACTGAATAACTCTGTGGAGAGGGACCTGGGTGTGCTGGTGGACGACAGGTTGACCATGAGCCAGCAGTGTGCCCTGGCTGCCAAGAAGGCCAATGGGATCCTGGGATGCATTAAGAGGAATGTGGCCAGCAGGTCAAGGGAGGTTCTCCTTCCCCTCTACTCTGCCCTAGTGAGGCCTCATCTGGAGTACTGCATCCAGTTCTGGGCTCCCTAGTTCAAGAAAGATGAGGAGCTACTGGAGAGAGTCCAGCGGAGGGCTACGAAGATGATGAGGGGACTGGAGCATCTGTCCTATGAGGAAAGGCTGAGGGAGCTGGGCTTGTTTAGCCT